TAGTAGTAGTAATAGTAGTAGTAATAGTAGTAGTAGTAGTAATAGTAGTAGTAATAGTAGTAGTAATAGTAACAATAGTAGTAGTAGTAATAGTAGTAGTAATAGTAGTAGTAGTAGTAGTAGTAGTAGTAGTAGTAGTAGTAGTAGTAGTAGTAGTAGTAGTAGTAGTAGTAGTAGTAGTAGTAGTACAGTAGAAAAAGTATTCGTTGGAACAGCAGTAGTAAATTATTAAAATAGCAGCAGCAGCGGCAATGGTAGTAGTACTAGTAATAGTAACAGTAACTGATAACGAGATGAAACGAAAATGTTCATGTTTACCACTTCAAATAGCCTTACCATCTGTAACTAGATGTTTCCCGTTTCCCTTCAAGTGCCACGATGGGCAACAGGGCGGGAGCAGACAAAAAAAAGAGAAAAAGGTAAAAAAGACAATAATAACAGAAGCAGAGGAAGAAAATGAAGAAAGAAGTGAAGGAAGCGAGGAAACAGGGAAGAAATATATAAAAAAGATGAAAAGGAAGGTGAAAATGTGTCAAAAGAGGCAGAAAAAATATTACGCAAAAGAGAATGAAAAGAAACAGGATATTAAAAAACGAAAAGTTAAAAGAAACAAGAAACGACGAAAAAGAAACCTGTCAGAAAAAAGAAGGGAAGGAAAGAAAAAGAAGACAGAAAATGAAAGAAGAAAAGAGAAAAAAATAGAAAAGAAGTAAAAAAGGAAAAAAAAGAGGAAAAGAGAAAGAAAAGTATAAAAAAGACAAGAAAAGGGCCAATATATATATATATATATATATATATATATATATATATATATATATATATATATATAACAAGAATAAGAATAAGAAGAAAAGGAACAACAACAAAAACAACACAGAAGAACAAGTAGAAGGAGAAGGAACAGCAGGAAGAAAAGAAGGAGGAGGAGGAAACGAGGCGTAACGGCCGCCGGTGTCACCCTCCTTCGCCTTATCCTCCCAAGAAGCGATCAACTTTTTTGCATTCCTCCCCGGCTTAGTAACTCTACCTTAATTGGCATACATTTGATGGTATCGGGGGAGGCCGTTCCCACGTCCGGCTTGCGGGGAGGGGGGGGGGAAGGGGGAAGGAAGGGGGGGAAGGGGGATGGAAGGGGGATGGAAGAGGGGGGAAGGAGGGGGAAGGGGGGAGGAAGGAAGGGGGAAGAAGGGAGGGAAGGGAGGGGAAGGTGGAGGGAGAGGAAGGAGGGAGGGAAGGGGGGAGGGAAGAAAGGGGAGGAAGAGGAAAGGGGGGAAGGAAGGAGGGAGAAGGGAGAGGGAAGGTGGGAAGTGGGAGGTAGGGGAGGTGGAAAAAAGTGGGGGAAGGGGAGAAGAAAGGCGGAGATGGGGGGAGAGTAAGAAGGAGAAGGGAGGGGAAAGGGAAGGTGGGATGTAAGATGGTAAGGTAAGAACGAGGAGAAGTGGAGGAAATGGGAAAGGGAAGGGGAGGGGGAGGAGGAGAAAGAATGGGGGAGGCGTGGTTGGGAGGGGAAGGGAGATGGGAGATGGGGAAAAGTAAGGAGGTGAAGGGTGAAGGAAGTGGAGAAAAATAGAAGATGAGAGAAGAATAAGGAAAACTAGAGATAAGGGAAAAGTAGAAGGAAGAGGGAAAGAAGGAAATGAACAGTAGCAAGAAGAAGGAAGGAAATGAGGAATGGAGAAAAAGAAAAAAAAAAAAAAAAAGAATAAAAGAACTCAGACCTCCCCTCCTAACTACCTCATCCCTCCCTTCACCCTCTCACCCCCCCCCCCTCTTGTTCAGTCATTTAAGTGATTGCTTTTGCCGAGAAATGTTAATTAGTAAAGGGGTTAGTGGACGTTGCAATTTCGTTGATAGATTTCGTTTTTATTAGTCCATTATCATTTTTTAAAAATCATTCTCTCCTGAGTTTTTGTCTCTCTTTTTTCCTTTCTGTTTATATTTTGACTTTTAGAGTCATTTGAATAAATATTTGTTCGCTGCCGGTATTTTAATCTAGCATGGAGAGAGAGAGAGAGAGAGAGAGAGAGAGAGAGAGAGAGAGAGAGAGAGAGAGAGAGAGAGAGAGAGAGAGAGAGAGAGAGAGAGAGAGGGGGGGGGGGTGGAGGCAGGCAGGCAGGCAGACAGATACCCACCCACACATACATACATACATACATACACACACACACAACTCAACACACACACACACACCGACAGACTGTCAAACAAACACAAACAATGATACAGATACAGACAGATAAATAGATAGAGAAATTAAGGGGCTAAGTAAATAAAACGACTTTCACTAACTCAGCCATTCACAATAATCAACCTCATCATCATCACATTTACAGTGATCAATTACTTGCAACTAACTGACAGAACAGCAGCGGAAATAGTTGAAAATAACAAGCAAAAGGTTCAGAAGGTTCAGAAAGGAGACGGGGGGGGGGGGGTGAGGAAGGTAGAGGATGGGGAGGGGGGAAGAGGAAGGGAGTTCTAGATGGGGGAGGGGAGGAGGAGGAAGAGGGTGTTAGATGGGGAAGAGGGGGAAGGGAGTGGTAGATGGGGAAGGGGGAGGAAGAGGGTGTTAGATGGAGAAGGGGGGGAAGGGAGGTGGTAGATGGGGCAGGGAGGGAGGAAGAGGGTGTTAGATGGAGAAGGGGAAGGGGGAGGACGTTAGAAAGGGGAATAGAGAAGGAGGATAAAAATGTCAGAAAGAGAGACATAGAGGATAGAAATGTTAGAAGGGGGAAAGGGGGAAGGGAGATAAGGGAACAGAGGAAAAGTATTGGGGAGGAATTGGGGAGGAA